ATACTGCCCTTAGGCAAAGCTCCCTAGGCAGCCCAGAACATTGAAGTCACCCATCCAGATTCCAACCAGGCCCAACCCTGCTTAGCTTCCAAGAGTAGGCAGGATCAGGCACTCCGGCTACGTGGAGGCCAGGCAGCACTCTCCCACAGCAAACCACCACCTCTCCCTGCTTGCCGCAGAACCTGCTGCCTGGGGTGATCCACACTGAGTTACGGTAGGGCCAGCCCTGGAGTTGGTCTGGGGAATCCTGGACTCAGCTTACCACTCCACCCCCGAAACCTACTCAGCTTTTAATCAAACCTATTTGCATGGTTGTTGTGAGGATAAAATGATGGAAGGGGCAGAGATCTACATACAGTCCCCAGCTTAAGTCAGGATATATAAGTCTGTGAAGTGCGTTGGACCCTCCCCGGTATTACACGGCTGCTAAAATAGATTAAGATGTTAGTAAAAGCACAATGGCTGTTTTGCAACTTTTCTTCCTGACAGAAGTGCCCTGACTTTAAGAGGTGCACACAAGAGGCGAGAGCGTGAGGTTTTATTTATTTATCTCATTTAAGAGTTTTGCGTCCTGCTTTCCTTGCAAAACAAACCAAAGGAGAATAAAGAGATTAAAGCAATCCATCATAAAACAATAAAAGCTGCAAAAAGGCAAACTTAACAACCCGAAACAAATCACAGAAATGAAAAATATGCCAGCAAAATACAGTAAAAACAGGCAACAAAGGAAAACAGGAATATTGTCGGCTGCTACCAAAAGTCAAGCTTTCTACCAGGCTCTGAAAAGAGCTTGAGTTTTGCATTTGGTAGGCAAGAGGTGACTGTGGGGCAAATTTGGCTTTCCTGGGGTCCCAATCTGACCCTCTGGGGTTCCTCAGAAGGCCACCCCCTTTCCCCTGCCCCCCTTCCCCCCCCCCCGAACCAGTGATTGATTGATTTTTTCCTGTTGCCCAATAGGTGATGCTCCCTGGGTGATGAACAATGATGAAGAGATACAATAAAGTACAGAATAAAAACTGAACAATAAAAGCATCACAACATTACATTAAAAATAGGGCGCATTTTAACAGCAAAACAACCAAAACCAGTCCATACTTCTTTAAGAAAAGAAATATATTTTGGATATTGGAGTGCAGCCCCTGAAGCCTTCTCTAAAACTGGCTTTGAGGCTGAAAGTTGTTTAATATCCTAAGGCAGGAAGATGTGAGTGAGAAGAGCTGGTGTCTCCCTGGGTCAGTGGAGCTCCTCATCCAGTACAGCTTTTATTTTGAGATTTAAAGGTGCTGTCCATGGTGCTTCATTGTGCTGCGCCTGTTTTGGGGATAAAATTCAGCACCATGAATGCACAGCACACCAGAATACCAGCTGCTGGGGAAGGTGACCAGGAGGGCGCTGCTTTTTACTGGGGGCACCTGTCTGGCCACTGTAAGAACAGGATGCTAGACTTGGTAGTCCTTTGGTTTGCCACAACAGGTCTCTTCTAATGTCCCTATGAAGGAACTTGGCGTATAAAGGCACAGTTCCTGAAACAAAGGATGGCCATGTATTCTCTGTGACAGAGGACAGTCCTTTATTTGAAGGACTGCCAGCAGGTCATCCTTTGTTAGAATTTGAAGGACTGTCCAGTTCAAGGCTGGCTTAAAGAAAAAGCAACTGAAGAACGTTGTATCCTATCCCTGGTTAGCACCTGACAGTATATGGAACAGGCAGGCAATCAAGTCACCTGGTCACAGGTAAGAGGAAGCTTATTACCTGGGGAAGTTGTGGGCCTTCCTGACTGGAGACATTCGGAAAGTGGGATGGTGTGAACGGGTGTCCTGAAATAGCAGGGAGTTGGACCCAGTGGACTTCTTGTCCCTTCAGGTCCCTACTATTCTATATTCCTATAAGATGTGCTTTCCTGTGGGGAGATGTATGTATTTCACTTTAATAATCCTTTCTAATTTTGCATCTGTAGATATAAATGAGGATGCACTAACTTTTGGTACAGGTGCCTCTTTCATCTCTCCTTTTTTCTGGATGATTTGTAATTGCACACCCTGTTTGTGGCCCCCTGTAGCAAGGGAAAGTTAGCGGAGGAAAATTGTGGGTGACTAAGAGAAAGGAAATGATGAGTTGGGTCTTGCCTGTAAATTGTCCCTTTGGATGCTGCTCTGGGGATGAGCGAGTATATTCCCACCCCCATGTAATAGTCATTTGGAAATAAGACTTGTTCATTATTGTGCTGTCTCAAGCTTTTCCCCACATCAGCCACTAGATTGCCACTGTTGGAAAAGTGCTACAGAAAGGTAGCTTTACGCCAAGCCATGATGATTGCAGAATCTTTTCTGTGTCCTCATAAGTCATGTGCTAGCTAGTTAGTTACATTTTTATGCTGCTCCAGGTGTGACTCTCCAGTGCTTTCCCACTGTTTGTTTCCATTCTTTTTCTTACCACATAAAATGTTAAAAAGGGAAAGACAACAAAGCTTCACAGTGCTTTTGGACTGGTAGCATTGGGAACCATCTGTCTGGAAACATCCTATGCATAAAGTCCTATTTGGTTTGTTCTTAAAAGATAGAATTTTATTCATGTATATTGGTGACAAATTCTGCCTCAAGGCACAGAGTGTTTTGTTTTTTTAAAACCTTTGTTTCACTCGTCGTCCTTTTAAACCTGTGATTCATACTCTGGTTTTTCCTCATGTCATATAATTGTTTGCCTTTTGCTAAACCTGTGATTCTTCTTCTGTCAAAACTCATAGATTCCAGCCTAGCCTTCTTCCTGATATGCTAGTTGTCTATGAGCAGGGATTTTGGAGTGGTGATGGTGGATGGCATAGAGTGGAGCATTCAGGCAAGTCTCTGAACCTCCTTTTGCAATCTGAAATAATTGGGCCACTGAATGAGATCTTAAGTGTAGGTGAGTGTTTGTTTTCTTCCATCTTCTTCTATCGTTTCTAGCGACTTCATAACAGGCCCAGCTCGGTGATGTATATCATTGCAGCGGAAGGCTATTTTGTCCGTCTACCAGCTGGCAAATATGTTTTTATTCATGGAGAACTTTGGCATGGCTGCTGCTCTGTTGCTAAAAGCCCTTATTTTGTTGGGCACTCTAGGGTTTCATTACTGGCAACAAGATCTTGAAGCTAAATTATGCAGGTGTTTTGGCCCCACCCCTTTTGCCTTTGGCCCCACCCACCTCTAGTACGCAGCACTTGAGAATATCTCTTTGTGAGACCCAGTGCTGAACTTCAGTGCTGAAATGCATGGCTAATATGCCTCTTTGCTCTCCCACAGCTATCATGTCATGCTTTACAAATGCTTGACATGTTAGAACAATGGCAATAAAACTACTTCCCTGCACTGATTAAAAAAAACATAGTACTCAGAGTTCATATAGATCTACCTGAACTCTCCCGAAACATGGATCAGACCCAGTGTCCATCTTGACCAGACCTGGGCATTGTACGGCCCGCGGGCCATATCCAGCCCGATGGCTGACCCTGACTGGCCCGCATGAGGTCACTGGCAAATTAAAAGTCAGTGCAAATATTTATCGTCGTAATATAGATGCAAGCAATACAATAGCACTGCTTTTATTTTGAGGGATCTGCTAAATTGAATTGAATTTATTACTTTTCAGGTAATGGTAATGTTTTTGTGAATATTCATTAAATAGTGTTGTTCTGTGCTCCACATTTTCATTGTATCATTGTAATGTTTCATTTACTGTTTTTATAGAGATATATATTGAGCAGAGCTGTAAGTGTATTGGTCCGCCCCTTAACAACTGTCAAAGTTTCTCATGTGGCCCCATAGGAAAATTAATTGCCCACCCCTGATCTTGACCATCCTTTTGTGCCCAGTGGCCAACCAGCTCCACATGGGAAACCAAAAGCAGCATCACCCTCCCACCCATGTGCCCCAGCAAATGGCATTCATAGGTACACTGCTTCTTCTAATTGAGGCAGGCTTGAGCCATCGGGACTAGTAGCTATTATTTATTATTTATTCATTTATTTCATGTATACCCCACCTTTCAAGGGACCCATAGCAGCTTTTACATCATTCTCCTCCTCCTCTCATCTTAACCTCAGAACAATAACCCTGTGAGGTAGGTTTGACTGTGAGTCTGTGACTGGCCTAAAGTCACCCCATGAGCCCCATGGCTGAGCAGGAACTAAAACCCACCGCTCCTAAGCCCTGCTCCTGCACTCTTAACCATGGCACCACACTGGTTCTCATTAATCTAATTCGAATTTGTCCAATCCCTTTTTATACTTGTCCGGATTGCTACCATCGTTTAACTTTGCCCACTATTGTGCCGGAGCCTCTGCCATCCTTTGGGCTCTTAGGAGGGAGAAAAATATTCCCCTCTCCATTTTCCCTCTCCATACCATGCATAATTCTGCACACCTCTCTCATGCCTGCGCTCACTCGCCTTTTCTCCACGTGAAATGGGTGTCAGATCTCGCAAGCCTCTTCCAACTCCGCTCGCCTACAATCCTGACCTACGGCAGCCGTCCAGATCTGCCCCCTTTCTGCACTTCTTCCGACTCGCCCTTATCAAAACTGCACGGAGTCTTCCCAGGGAGGCCTCGCCGGTGGCTCGGGACGTTCTTGGCCGCTTTATTTTTGTGCCCTTTTCCTAGTCATGCACCATCATACGTGTTTGCTTTTGATGCCCTTCTCACCTGCCACTCTTCGGGAGGTCCTCTGGGAGGGGAGGGCTCCCTTGGACTTCGCCCCCCCCCCAGTGCGGCCCCGCAGCACTCTGCCTTGCACCTGACCGGGACGCATGGCGCCCGCCGCCCCCCGCACCACGCCTCCCTTTTTATTGTTGCAACCCCCCCCCTTCATAACTCAAGGGGTTAAATGTACAAAGCTGTAGTTCCTAGAAAGGCCTCTGGAAATTTGAGTCCAGAGCTGCAAACAGAAGGGGGGCGGGGAAGGCTCCCCTCTCCTTTCCTTCCCGTCCCGCCTCCTGCCTCTGGTCTGACATGAGAAACGGCCTCTTGCTCCTCGCTTCCCAGCCTGGGAGCGATCGGAGGGCTGCGGCAGACACAAAGGCTGCGCGGCGCGGGTGAGTTCAAGCCAGCCAGCAAAGGAGGGGCCTTTTTTTTTTTTTTTAAGGGAGGGGACTCATTCAGGGTGCAAAGTGTAATGGGCGGCCGAGGGGAGCCAGAGGGATGGGGAGCCTGTCGCTGGAGGCAGAGAACTGGGTCCGAGGAGAAACTTAAGTGTTGCAGTTAGGGGAAAGGAGTAGGTTGCAGTCACTTGTTTCTTCTGCCTGGATTCCAAATGCTGTGGATGTGTTGGCTGGGTGTATCACGATTTATATTATTATTATTATTATTATTATTATTATTATTATTATTATTATTATTAATTTTCATCCTCATCATCCTGATGCTTCTTTGCAGCACTCTGTCAGGAACTAGGAGCAGTCACAGCAATGGAATAAAGACCTAGATTTTTAGTCCCCTGAGTGCAGGCCCTCCATTCACAGCTTTCTGACTCTGTTCCCAGGAACCCCGGAGTCCTTCTGCAAGCTTAGCTCCACCAGAAGATCAGTAATGGCGGACAAGAAAGAAAGAAAGACAGAAACAAACAAACAAGCAGCCTGCTGCGGCCACTGATCTCTCCGCACACACAGCTCCCTGCAGCCGCACTTCCGTGGCAGTGGGTGGCTGGGTGTGTCTAGGCGCTCTCGCCTTTGGCTTGGATGGGGGGAGAAAGGTGATGGTGAGGTCCAGGCAGGCCTGTGGGCTCAGTGCCCTCTAGATGCAGAATAAGATGTGGGGAGCTATAAAACTTTGAAAAGCTGCTCCTGTGGAGGGAAGGGACAAATGCATCATGTAGATGATGGAGCAACTAATGTGCGCACAGGTTCAAGTTATGCGTGAGGGGCCGTGAAGCTGTAAACGTAGAGGAAGAACTTCCTGATGGTACGGGCTGTTTGAGAGTGGAACAGGCTGCTCCGGACAGCAGTGGTCTCTCTTTTGTTAGAGGCTTTTAAGCGGAAGCTGGATCACCATCTCAGTGGAGTGGAGATTGAAATTGTGCAGTGGAGACTGAAAGAGAGGACCTTTGTAGACCCTTCTAATTCTGCAAGCCTCTGAGGGGTGGCTTGGAAAAGGCGCATAGTGAACACACAATTCACAGACATTTAAGAGCGTCCTTGATGTCAGCTGTCCTTCCCCTCCTGGTTACTTCTCCATGGGGCTGCCCTTAAAAATAACCCCAAAGCTTCAATTCTGCCAGATTATCAGTCACTTGGAGATTGGAGCCATATGCTTCCCTTCAGTGACTTGGGCCATATCACCTCAAAAATGATCTGTTACCATATGAGCCCGTCCAGCTTTTAAGCTCAGTGTAAGAGACCTCGCTTTGTGTTCTGCCTGTTTCGGAAATTAGGTGGGCAAGTACAAGAAACTGGGCCTTTTCACTGGTAGCATCTGATCACAGTGAAAGTTTGTCAGACCGGCCTTTTCATTCCATCTTTCCGTGGATGCCAATGACATCTTTAGTCACACTTTTTAAAAATCAGCAACCTGCTGTTTTATGCTGCTTCTCACCGAAGGCTACTTCCTCTTGTCATAATTATTGATGTTTTGTTATTATACTCAAGATGTGGTTTTACTGGTTTTTCCTGGTTCTGTTATTTTTATTGTAAGCTGGTTCAGCTGATATTGTAATAGAAAACAGTGTGAATGTGGGTAAGCCTACGAAAGCTACCAGCTTACTATATTTTTTAACTAGTCAACCAAGGGACTAGTTGCTTACATTGCCACACTGACCATGGAAAAGGGGAAAGCTGTGTCCCACTGTGTCCCACTGCCAGGTTGCTAATCTCTTAGCTAGCTAGCTAAACAAAAACCAAAAACACCCCTTGCCCTTTATCAAGGGGGCTGGGAGATCAAGGACAGTGCAATCCATTGTTCCTCCACCAGTTTTAGTAATTTCTGAGAGAGTCTTAGTAAGGGGGGTGAATTTGTGCAAATGTGCAAATCTGATTCCTTCAATGAGCAAAAGGGATCTGACAATTCAGGAAACACAGAATGGATTTAACTAAGTTGGTGCTTCCCAAATCTGGCCCAGCGTCCTGTTCACACAGTGGCCAGTCAGATGCCCACTGGAAGCCCTCAAGCAAGACAGGGGTGCAGCAGCACTCTCCTACCCATCCTCCTCAGCAACTGAGGTGTGTGGGCATACTGTTTTTGATAACTGCAAGTACTCTATGGTCATGTGGACTAGTAGCTGTGGATAGCCTCCTCCTCCTCCATGAATTTGCCTAATCCCTTTTTCAAACTCTCCAAATTGGTGGTCATCACTACATCTTGGTATAGAAAATTCCACAGTTTAACTCTGCACTGTGTGATGGAGTCCTCCCTTTGAAATGTGCTAAGCTTCAAGAAAGCTTCACCATAAGCTTCAAGAAGTTACTGCTTCAGGTGCTAGTCTTATGAAAGAGGGAGAAAAATAGTCCCCCTCCCTTCATTTTCTCTGCTCCAAGCATAATTCTGCACTCTGTCATTTCTCCCTTCGCTTGAGTATTCTCTAAATTCATCCATCTGTTGTAACCTTTCCTTTGGGACTCTTCTAATACATGAAGAGCTGCCCCACAGAAGAGGGACTATATCTAGTGGGCTTACATTATAAGAGGAGAGTTTTTGGTGGATTGCCAGCAGAAACCTCATGCCAATGAGAAAAAATTGACTATGCAGCTAATTAGCAGTGTCTCTTGCATTGGAGGCCATCAGGAAAAAGCTGCACAACCATCTGTTGAGATTGCTCTAGGTGGGGAGTCCCCAAACTTTTTGAACCCATGGATGCATTTGGGAATTTGTGATATTGCCGTGGGCAGTACCACAAAGTGCTGAATCAGTGGGTTGCTGCTTTCATTTAATTTCATTTCATTTATTACATTTGTATGTCGTTTCATAGCCCATAGGGCTCTCTGGGCAGCTTACAGTAGAACAAACAATACATATTCCATACATCTTTGGCATCTGTCCTGCGTCTGTGGATTGTAGACTGTGTGTCATTCCGTGAAAAGGCTTGTTTCGTGCCTTCCAGGCGCTGCAGGGGCTCTTTCACAAAGGCTTGTCTAGTTCATTTAGCTGCTGGTGGTGCAGAACCTGCTTCTTTGGTACATACGGTTTGGCAATGTCCAGGAGGTGCTTCTTTTCGGGAAGAAGTTATGACACAGATCAATTTTGTACTGGAACAGTCTTAGTATTCATTGACATACACACTTTTTAAAGAATTTACCCGCTCCATGGAAATAAACACATCCTTAGCATAAGCAGAGTTTCTGGACCCTCTTCAAATATTAAAACATAGGAAGGATAAGTATTCACAGCCTAGTAGTAGCCACCTTCCAACAGATACTTAACTTAGATATTTGGTCCGCTTTTGTTGAGGCCAGTACCTTGCTATTGCCATTACGTTGCATTTATACCCGGACTTTTTCACCTTGTGAGGAACCGAGGTGGCTTACGTCGTTTTAGTTTTATCCTCACAACAACCCTGTGAGGTAGGTTAGGCTGAGAGTCAGTGACTGGCCCAAAGTCACCCAGAGCAGTGATAAACATCTGGATCTTCCAGGTCCCCGCATTGTCTCTAATTGCTAGAAAGTTGAATACATTTTAATTAATTAATGCAATTTGCTTAAAGGCAGCCTATTAGCATCACCCTATCTTATTCTGCCTTTTTGCTTTTTCATGGATGTGGACACGGACACACATATTAAAAGGGGGAATACTGCAATAAGGGGCTCAAGGTACAGAAAGCCCAATTCCGGCTAGATATCAGGAAAAATTTCCTGTTAAAGCAGTACAACAAGGGACCAGCGACCCCACTCAGGTGCGACTGAGAGGGATGGGTTTAATGTGGAGCCCGGCACTGAGCAGGGGCTGGCCCCTTCCAACTCCACTATTCTATGATTCTATGAAATAATAAATACATTAAAAATTCACAGTTTTTTAAAAATCACCTCCTCAGGGATTTCTATTCTTGGTCGCTTTTCCCATTTTTGCTCTCCAGATGTGACGGAGTACAACTCCTACCATTCCCTGTGACTGATGGGAATTGTAGTCCAACACATTTGGAAGGTACCAGAGGGGAGAAGGCTGTTTAAGAATTGGACTACAGGGCCCATCATGCTTGCTTTTGTTTTAATATGGCTTTTCTGATCCCACCGGAGTCCTTGTTTTGCTCTGCATGAGAACCAAAGGGTTTATTTCCCTCTGCATTCTGTTAATAGGTTAGAATTCAATAATCAAATAATTTAAACAAAAATGAAATGTAAAGCAGAGACCTTCGTGGGAGGAAGGATGAAGCGCACATCCTATGCTTGACAGTCCTACGGGCAACAGAGAACATAGACTACACATGGTAGAATGGACCATGCCACCTGAGACTGTAGACGGGCGGGTGTCCCATTTTGGAATGCACTCCTCTGTTTATAAAAACACCCATGCTGTAAATAAAGCTTAACTCCACACAGGCAGCACACAGGGCTGCTGTTGGGTGGTCTTCTTTCTCGTGCAGAGAATTTTTACGTGGGTGGGCATGGAACAAATGGGACCCCCGCAGGCACACACCCTTTAAGTGGTGCCACCTCTCTTAAGACCATGTTCCAGTACATACCACTTCTAGTAACAGTGACCTTGGGCGGGAAGGTCCCAGATGGGACTGGAGAGGAACAAGAGGCGGGATGTGCGTGCTTGCAGAAACTCTTAAGGTTTGCAAAAATACCAAAAGTCTTTTGGAGAATACAACGTAAGGGGGCACCCTTCACATACTCTCTTGTGGACAAAGAAAAGCTCCGCCTGAGTATGGACTGAGAGCTTGGAGCAGCAAACCTGGAAGAACAGACCTGGGTCAACTCAAGGCAGTGTGGTGGAGGGGTTAGTTCAAGAACACCTGGAGGACATCAAGGCTTTAAAATGGCCCAGCTAATCTGTACCTTCAAGGTGTCCTTTGAAAGCCTGTGGCACATGGGCAAAGTAGTACAGGCAAGAGAATAATCCCAGGATGAGCATTCTTCCCGCAGGTTGGTTTGCTTGTCTGTGTTCAGCGGCTCACATCTTAAAGCTTTGTTTTCAAATCACATATTAAAGTGCTCTGGGATTTTTTTAGCCTTGTTATTTACAAAATATGTATATTTATTTTAAGAATGGTTAAGCTGCCATTCAGTAGAGATATTTTGAGAACATGCATACATAACATGCATATTCAAACAACATTTTTAAAAGACAGATAAAGGCAGCATAAAATAGCACAGACAGTAAACAGCCCCGGGAAGGCCTGTGAGGCTGGGGAGAGGCTTTTCCTGGTGCTGGAAAGGCAGCAAAATAGACATGCTAACAAGGGGTTTAAAAAAAAAAAGCAAGCTGTAATTTACAGGCTTTCCTTAAAAAAAAGAAACAATCAAAATAAGCAACAGTATGAAATAAAAATAGGAGCTACCACAAAATCTTGCCTGGTTCGAGCCTTGGGAAAGTGGCTGGCCGGAAGCTCTCTCTCTTCCAGAACTCTTCTTTCCCTTTCTCTCCTGGTTTTTGTCACATCCCCAGTCGGCATCCTGTGCTGAGTGAGCATGGTCAGTCCTCAGTTAGCTGTAATTGGGGGTAAGTATTCCCCCCAAGGTTTTTTTTATTGTTCCTAAAGACCTTTTTCTTCTACAGACCTTGGGGGCTCCCCTAAAACTAATGAGGCCTTCTACTGCCTTCTCTTATTTTTATTTTTATTCTATTTATTTAGTTCCATTTCTATGCCGTCTTGTAACCCAAAGGTTCTCTGGGCGGCTTACAGTGCTGGAGCATAAAAACATACATAAATTACAATAAAATGGTTATTAATCAGATAAAAAGATGAAACAAATTAATAGATAGCACCTCAAGTAAAATATACTCACCCATACTGGTAAACAAAACCAACAAATTAAGAATCTCTTTGGGTGCTTTACAGCAAAGAATAAAAACTGCAGTACAATAGATAAAATGGAAGCAAGAATTAAAACTTAATTTAAAATGTCTTAGTATACTTAAAAGACAATAAAAAGTCCTGGCCAAGAAAGACACCTGGATAATTGTATTAGACCCTTGAAGGATCAGGGAGGTCTTTAAGGGCCTTTGTGAAGAGGACTGTCTTAGCCTAATGCCAAAAAGATGGCAAAATTGGTGCTAGGTGGGCCGCAGCAGGGAGGTTGTTCCAAAGATTGTGCGTGGTAGATAACACAACTCCTTTCTCCTCTCCCAGTTTGCTCGCTCACCTATGTGCAGTTTCTGTTCACCTACGGTGAGCAGGCTAGTTCTTCAGTCTGGGGCAGGCTAGTTCTTCAGTCTGGGACCTCCTCCAGCTTGAGGGCAACCTATTTCAAAGAAGCTACCCCATGGTTAGGCGGGACTGAAGGCCAGAGGGATGGGGCCAAAATGCCGGCATGTTTTAACTAAGATCTCTTCTCTCCAGTTAGCCCAGCTCTGGGCTCCACAGTGTAAGAAAGATGCAGAGCAGCTGGGAATGGTTCAGAGGAGGGTAACAAGGATGATCTGGGGACTGTGGAAACAGGTTGAAAGAACTGGGCATGTTTAGCCACAAGAAGAGAAGATGGAGGAGAGAGATGATGGCACTCTAGAAGTACCAGAAAGGCTGTCCCTCAGAGGAGGGCCAGGATCTCCTCTCGATCATCCCGGATTGCAGGACATGGAAGAATGGGCTCGAGGGACAGGAAGCCAAATAACGGCTGGGCATCAGGGAAAAATTCCTGTACTCTATAGGGCAGTACAACAGTGGGACCCATTGCCTAGAGTGGTTTTGGGTTCTTCACACTTGTTTGGGCATCCATGTGCAGGGATGCTTTAGCTGGAGTTCTGCACTGAGCAGGAAGTTGGACACGGTGGCCTTAGGTACCTCCAATGCTGCAAAGCAAGGCTGCATGCATGTTCGGACAGGAAAAGATTCTACATCTCTCAACCAGGAGCCTCAGGATCCTTTCCTGTCTGACCATGCCTGGGGTTAAAACTGCACAAAAGTCAGGAAACAACTAAATAGTTGGTAGTCCGGGATGTAACCAGTACGCTTTTGTAAACCATCATATGATTCTTGGAACAAATGACAGTTTAGAAAAGTTTTCCAATACAGTGGTGCCTCATAGTTCAAACGACTCTAACTTTGAACAATCCAGAGCTCGAACATTAGAGTCGAGATTAAATTGCTCCACAGTTTGAACAATGCTTCTAAGAGCAAACTGCGAGCAAAGTGAAAAAAAAATGTCGCTTAAGTCAAAAAGTCTCGATGTCCTGAATCGATTTATCTTGACTTGAATTGATTCAAGAAGGACATTGTTCGAAGCAGGGGAAGTATTTTGCGGGAGATTAAAGGCAATGAATCTTTTATTGTAATATATTTTTTAATTTCACCATATTTTTTGATCACACCTCATGTATAACCTTGAACTTAATTTGTTTCAGGAGGCCATATTTGCTCTTTAAGTTTACCAAAATGGGTATTGTTCAGGGTCTGGAAATGAATTAATTCACTCTTCATTATTTCTAATGGGGGAACTTGATTCAGACTTCAAACGATCCAGAGTTCAAACAGCCTCCTGAAACGAGTAAAGTTTGACGTATGAAGCACCACTGTAGATAAATAAATAGCCTGGGGAAGAGGCATCACCAGCCAGGGAACTCCTGGACCCTCCGTGCTGCTCTTCTGGCTTACGGTCTCTCAGTCTGGTCCAGGGGAGCCCCTCTTACGCTCTTCATTTCATGGCTTCTCTCAGGGCACCGTTGCTGCAGTTCTTTTGTGGGTGGAGTGGGGAGAGTCCCTTTGCCTGCCACCAAGCTAACCGTGTGTTCCTGATTCAGGAGCGGGATCCAGAAACCAAAATGGAGGAACAGGAGCCGGCTGGGCCTGAGACACGGGAGAGTTTGGAGGGGGGAGCGCGGGACCTGCACGTGGTCCAGATCGGAACCACCGGGGAGCTGCTGGAAGGGGTGGCGTCCCAGAAGCAGTTCAAACGGGAGCCTGAGGAGCAGTGCTGGGAAAGCCAGTTGCAAGACTTCCTGAAGACCATGCAGCCCTCCCGTCCCAGGTGGAAAAACCCGCCGTCCCCTCACTACGCGTCTGGAGAAGATACCAAGTACTTCCAGAGCTCCTTCAAGGGGGGTGAAGAAGCCAGCCGGTGGCCGAAGGTCGAATGCATGCCCCAAGGCGTGTCGGGACTCAGCAGAGACGACAGCCAGGCCTATGAAAGCAGCCATGACTCTCCCGTGAAGGTGAAGGAGGAGGTCTTGGACGAGGACCCGGTCAATGTGGAGATGCGGCGGCAGCGCTTCCGGCTGTTCTGCTACGAGGAGGCGGAGGGCCCGCGGGAGGTTTGCAACCAGCTCTGGGAGCTGTGCCACCAGTGGCTGAGGCCAGAGACCCACACCAAAGAGCAGATCCTGGAGTTCCTGATCCTGGAGCAGTTCTTGACTGTCCTGCCCCCGGAAATGCAGAGCTGGGTCAGGGAACATGGACCTGAGACGTGTACCCGGGCTGTAGCCCTGGCAGAACGCTTCCTGCAAGAATCTGAGGAACCAGAGCAAAAGGTAAGGGCTTGCAGCGCCTTGCATGGGCAGCGGCTCTTAGCAATTTCTCTCTCTAGGGAAACCAGCTTAGAACTTAATCCAGTGCAGACATTATTATGATTATTATTCATATTCATATTATAGGTTTTGGGTGCCTCTAAATCTGTAATTATTATGCAGACTTGTTATATTGCAGGGATGTGGTTTCTCAGGCCCATAGGCCAAATCCAGCCCTCTGTGATTCCTTAATGGGCATGCCTACCCCTTCCCCCCGCCAGTCACCAATTGTTCGGTGGTTTCCCAGCTTTTGCAGAGTTTTTTCCTCCTCCTGAAAGGTTGAAACGGCTCTCCGAAATAGGATTGCAAAAATCCAGCAGAATCCAGCTGGCTTCTGTTTGTCAGGCTTCTTTCTCATGTTCAGCCCTGGCTTGGGACCCAGGTCAAGCCAAGGGGAAGTCCACGAGTGCCTGCAAACACGCCCAGAACTCGTGTTCTACATCCCAGCAACCTTCCTCTGCAGCACGAGCCAAGCTTGCACTTCACGTGTGCAGGAGCGGGACGCCGCTCGTGCAGCCCTTGTGCGAGTTCAGTCCCCAGTGGGTACCCGTCTGAACGCTCGATGCCAAGTTGGACTCCCAGCCATGAGAAAGTGGGTTGGAGTCCAGGGAGCTGAGCCGAGAGGATCCGACAGATTCCCACCCCTAAGTAGGGATTGTTGCAATCCTATTTCAGAGAGCCCTACTTCAAACGCTCAGGTACAGGCAGGTGGTGCAAACGAGAGGCACTGGAATCGCCCTCCAAGGGGAAAAGCGGGATAAAATGTCTCGTACCACAGCAGGCAGTGGTACATTTAGCCTTCCACTTTCCAGTGCCCTGATGGCCTGCTTATTTATTTATTACATTTATAAACTGCCCCATAGCCCACGGGCTCTCTGGGTGGTTTACAAATATTAAAATTGTAAATACAATTCATAAAATACTCATAAATATAAATGTACTGATAAAATGCTATAAAACTAGAACAATGACAGACCACAGTCGCAGCAGCTATAATAATTTAACCCTCCAGGCACAGAAGTCATTAATAAACAGTATGTAATCTGGCTCAGCAGATAAAAACAGATATCTATGTTGTAAGCCGCCCCGAGGCTTCGGCGAATGGGGCGGCATAAAAATGTTTTAATAAATAAATAAAATAAATAAAACACACAGAATTAGCTAATAAAATAGCTAGAAAATTAAAAGGTTTTTCACCTGGTGCCAAAAAGGTGTCAGGGATGGCTCCAGGTGCACCTCTTTGGGGAACCTGTTCTGGAGATGGGGTGCCACTACTGAAAAGGCCCTTCTCCTGTTTGCCTCTCCCTTACGTACATCTGTATAGAAGGCACCGTGTTGGGAAGGTGGCTCTAAGCACTGCACTTGGGTTAAAGAGTCAGGCTGCTTTCAGGCAGAAGGCACCCAGCAGTGATCAAACGCGCTCTTTCCCTGTAAGCTACAGGCTGAATTGCAGTTGGATGCCCATGCCATCAGGAATTACTGTGCATTAATTGTCTTTCTGCTAGTCTCATTAACACTGGTAATGACTTAGCAGGCAGCTGAAATCTCACAGATCAGTCACTCTACTCTTTAGCTGTAGGCTCCATTTTTATGATCAATTATTATTCTTTTTTCTTTGATCTTTTAAGTAGTAAAATGTACTTTTTGTGGGGGGAGGTGTAGAGAGAGAGAGAGATTAGCAAAAAACTCATAAATGTAAGAGTCTTGGGGTGCCATCACCACCCAAGAAATGGCCATCCCCTACAGCTCCAGAGTCACCTTTGCAACTTCGAAGCCACGGAAAGAGCTGTGCCGGCTGCAAGGCTGGAATCCCAGCTCTTACCTCGGAATACGGTTGACACAATTGCTCCCAGGCACCGTCTCCCCTCTTGCAGAGCCCGTCCGTCTCCCTGGTTCACACCAGAGCTGCATGTGATGAAGCAAGAGGGAAGAGGGCTAGAAACCAGGTGGAGGAAAACTCAGAATGAATCTGATTGAACGCGGCTTAGTGCCCACTATCGGGCCTATCCATGACAGTGAAGGCGGCAAAGGGGTCGTTCTTGGCTGCCCCCATTGCATCCTTGAGCTGTTGGCCTGTGGAGACTTCTGGTAGGTTTGCGGCCTTTCACCCTCTGGCCCAGGAAGCGATACCACTGAATCCTCAGAGACCTGCTTTGACCAGTTTGCGCGACACCCTAAGGGTGAAGTCACTTAGATTCGTCTTGGGTTGGGTACTGCAGCCATCTGGCCCAGTCTTACTGGAAGAGTACCAACTATGGCATCCTGAGGATGTGGACAAGGGGCTGGGTTGTGTCCGTGCCACAACGTGTTCGCTTGACCCCTGCCCATCTTGGCTAATTGAGAGGTCGAAGAAGGGGACTCATCCCTGGATCCAGGAGGTGGTGAAGGCCACCCTTGGGAGAGGGAGTGGTGCCTGCCCCTTTAAAGGTGGTGGTGGTGAAGTCATCCCTTAAAAAGCCACATCTGGATCCAGTGGGCGTAAATAGTTATTGACCTATCCCCATTACTCCCTTCCTGGGCAAGGTGCTCGAGCGGGCTCTGGCCGGGCAGCTCCAAGCACTCTTGGAGGAAATGGATTATCTAGATCCATTTCAGTCGGACTTTAGGCCTGGGTCACCCGTGACATGCCAGGAGAGAGACGGGAAGTGCAGCCGTGTTGATTCTCCTGGATTTCTCAGCAGCTTTCAATGCCATCGACCGAGGTCTGCTTCTGGAGAGACTGGCTGGACTGGGAATTGGGGGAACTGCTTTGCAGTGGTTCCACTCCCACTTGACTGGCCATCTCCAGCTAACAGAGCTGGGGGACTGTGGGCTGGGTTGGGAATCAGTGGCACAGGGTTGTGGTGACTCTGCTCCTCCCTGGCTGACCATCTCCAGATGGTGGAGCTGGGGGATTGTTGCTCTGCCTTTGTGCCATGGAGTTCCACAGGGCTCTGTTTTGTCCCCCATGCTCTTTACCATCTACATGAAAGTGCTGGGAGGGGCCACCCAGACGTATGGGCTGAAGTGTCATCAGGACGCTGGTGAAACTCTGCTCTACTCTTGTTTTCATCTAACCCACGCGAGGCAGTGACTGTCCTGAACTAGTGCCTCAGCTCAGTCGTGGATCGGATGGGGGCCAATTCACTGAAGCTCGATCCAGACAAGCCAGACTGTCTGTTGGTGGGCAGCTCATTTGTCCAACTGGGAAATTATTCATCCCATCATGGATGGGGTCGTGCCCTCCCTAAAGGATAAGGTTTGTCGCTTTGGGTGCTCTTGGACCTTCTATCCCGCTACGTTCCTACTGGGATGAGTGGAGCCTCTCCACAGTTATCCGTACACTGGGAACCTCTTGCCCGGATTACTGTAACGTGCTCTATGTGGGGCTGTGTTGTGCCTGAAGCCCCGACAGAGACAGCACCTCACGAGGAGGTCTTGTGCTTAGGACCCTGTATCCAAAAGCCGACCCTGCAACCTGGCTTGCGGGTGGCTGAGCAGATAGCTGCACCTCCCACTGACTCCCTGCCCATTGAGCAAACACCCGAGCCCACATCATCATCATCATCATCATTATTATTATTATTATTATTATTATTATTATTATTATTACATTTCTATGCCGCCCCTTGCCAAAGCCTCGGGGCGGCTTACAACACAATAAAATACATTGAAATACAATAGAACATAATAAATTACCACTAAATACAAAAATACAAAAAATATACACATCGAAGCAAGAGAGCCCCGAGGGAAAAGACAAAAGACACCACGAGTTCTACTCAGGAGTCAGAGCAGGCTGTCCCTCCTCCTACTGACACTGAACTTCCTGAACATAACACAGGAGACACAGGGGGCGTGATAGACTTTTCTCCAGCAACCAATCGTAGAATTCTGAGAAGAGACGAGCAAAGGCAGAGCTTGTTACGCCAGAGGGAAGAAAGGCGTGACCAGGAGAGCTAGTCCCATGTGGGCCCCGGGGAGAGACACCACTAGAGGATTAACATCTGCATTCCAAAGACCTCAACAGAAGAGCTTATCTGTAGAGTTGTAAATCTGGTAGACAAGTAGCAATAAAGGACTTTAGTTTTATTGCTCGGAATGTGTGGGTTGCTTACCTGTTGAGCAGCATCTGGACAGGCTGCCTTTGAAGACGGTCCGGGCTCTTCAGTTAATCCCAAACGGAGCATCACAGTCACTAAGAAGGACCAGCCCTGGAGAACGCATCATGCCTGTCCTCCACCAGTTGCATGCGCTGCCTGTCTTTGCCCGGGCCCAATTCAAAGTGCTCCCACTAATATATCACGCCTTAAACGACTTGGGACTGGGGTATCTAAAGGAACACCTGTCTCCACATACCCCTACCAGGCCACTCAGGTCACCGATGGAGGCCCTCCTTCGCGATCCCTCCCCAAATGAGGCGAGGGGGGAATTGACGAGGAAAAGGGCCAAAAGGGCCTTCTCGGTTGTCGCACCTCACCTTTGGAATTCCCTTCCAAGGGAGGTGCAACTGGCAACCTGCTTTACCTCGCTTTCAGCACCAGGTTAAGATTTTTAAATGTAATACCTGTTTTTCAATTATGACTAGTTGTCTTGGCGCTGGTTTATTATTTTATTGCTTTATTGGTTTGTTGTTTTACTGTTTATATTGTGCTTATCCTCCTGTAGCATTGATATTGTATTTTTACTCTTTTATGTTTTATGGTTTTAGTTGCTATGGTCATTTATTTTTATCTGTATTGGGTACTTTTATTCTGTATCGCTGTTTATGATTGCACTGTGAGCCTCCCATAGAGCATTCTGAGGGGGAATACAAATGCAATAAATACATAATAAAAAATAATGCCTTTTCAAGGCCTGTCCTGTGGCCATCTGGATAATATCTAGCAGCTGTAGGATCTTCCCCTTTTAGCACCATCTCTCTACAGATGATGATGATGAAACTTGTATTCCACATTATAGGCCTGAGGGCTTATAAATGATGA